CTTGCCGGTAAACTTTGGCAGTGAACTTTGCCCGTGAACTTTGCTGGAGAACATTGCCGGTGAACTTTGCCGGAGAACATTGCCGGTGAACTTAGCCAGTGAACCTTGCCGGTGAACTTTGCCGGTGAACTTTGCCGGTGAACCTTGCCGGTAAACCTTGCCGGTGAACTTTGCCGGTGAACCTTGCCGGTGAATTTTGCCAGTGAACCTTGCCGGTGAACTTTACCGGTAGAACTTTGACGGTGAACTTTGCCGGTGAACTTTACCGGTGAACCTTGCCGGTGAACTTTGCCGGTGAACTTTGCCGGTGAACTTTGCCGGCGAACTTTGCCGGCCGGGTCTGACCAGTAAGCGACTGTAAGAAAAAAACCGGTACCAACCGGTTTTTAATATGATGACATTACACATCTGTCCTACGTTTCTATTTAAGACCGAAACAGGAAGGAGGATTTCTCAACAACTCTGTGGCTGTCGCCTGATGATGATGCTGCTGCTGGCTGTTGTTGTTGTGAAACGTCACCGTTAGTCGAATTGTAAACGTGGGTTATAGCTTAAACACACACACATCGGTTAGTGCTGAGGGAGGAGAGGGAGGAGGAAAGGAGAGGGAGGAGTGGGGGGAAGGGAGGGAGGAGTGGGGGGAGTCGGGGCAGGAGAGGGAGGAGTGTAGAGAGGGGGAGGAGTGTAGAGAGGGGGAGGAGTGTAGAGAGAGGGAGGAGTGTAGAGAGAGGGGGAGGAGTGTAGAGAGGGGGAGGAGTGTAGAGAGAGGGGGAGGAGTGTAGAGTGAGGGGGAGGAGTGGAGAGAGGGGGAGGAGTGGGGGAGGAGTGTAGAGAGGGGAAGGAGTGAAGAGAGGGGGAGGAGTGTAGAGAGGGGGAGGAGTGTAGAGAGGGGGAGGAGTGCAGAGAGAGGGGGAGGAGTGTAGAGAGAGGGGGAGGAGTGTAGAGGGAGGAGTGTAGAGAGGGGGAGGAGTGTAGAGAAGGGGAGGAGTGTAGAGAGAGGGGGAGGAGTGTAGAGAGAGGGGGAGGAGTGTAGAGAGAGGGGGAGGAGTGTAGAGGGAGGGGGAGGAGTGTAGAGAGAGGGGAGGAGTGTGTATGGAGGGGGAGGACTGTAGAGAGAGGGGGAGGAGTGGAGAGATGGGGAGGAGTGTAGAGAGGGGGAGGAGTGTAGAGAGGGGGAGGAGTGCAGAGAGAGGGGGAGGAGTGTAGAGAGGGGGAGGAGTGTAGAGAGGGGGAGGAGTGCAGAGAGAGGGGGAGGAGTGTAGAGGGGGAGGAGTGTAGAGAGAGGGGGAGGAGTGTAGAGGGAGGAGTGTAGAGAGAGGGGAGGAGTGTGTAGGGAGGGGGAGGAGTGTAGAGAGAGGGGGAGGAGTGTAGAGAGAGGGGGAGGAGTGTAGAGAGAGGGGGAGGAGTGTAGAGAGAGGGGGAGGAGTGTAGAGAGAGGGGGAGGAGTGTAGAGTGAGGGGGAAAAGTGTAGAGAGAGGGGAGGAGTGTGTAGGGAGGGGGAGGAGTGTAGAGAGAGGGGGAGGAGTGTAGAGAGAGGGGGAGGAGTGTAGAGAGAGGGGGAGGAGTGTAGAGAGAGGGGGAGGAGTGTAGAGAGAGGGGGAGGAGTGTAGAGAGAGTGGGATGAGTGTAGAGAGAGGGGGAGGAGTGTAGAGAGAGGGGGAGGAGTGTAGAGGGGAAGGAGTGTAGAGAGAGGGGGAGGAGTGTAGAGAGGGGGAGGAGTGTAGAGAGAGGGGGAGGAGTGCAGAGAGAGGGGGAGGAGTGTAGAGAGAGGGGGAGGAGTGTAGAGAGGGGGGGGAGTGTAGAGAGAGGGGGAGGAGTGTAGAGAGAGGGGGAGTAGTGTAGAGAGAGGCGGAGGAGTGTAGAGAGAGGGGGAGGAGTGTAGAGAGAGGGGGAGGAGTGTAGAGAGAGGGGGAGGAGTGTAGAGAGAGGGGGAGGAGTGTAGAGAGAGGGGGAGGAGTGTAGAGAGAGGGGGAGGAGTGTAGAGAGAGGGGGAGGAGTGACGCACGGGAGCGAGGAGGCGTGGAGTTGGGAGGCATTGAACCAGCCCAGCCCAAGTTGCTGCTGCTGCTGCTGGAGTTGGTTGTTGGCGATGTTGATGGTGGCGATGTTGTCGATGTGATCAATGGCTTCGGGAGGAAGGGGGTGCCCTGATGGACGAGCACGACGCTTCCTCTCCCTCGTCTGAGCTCCACGGCCGAGCAGAGTAACGCGGGAAAGTAACGCCAAAGTAACGTCAAAGTAACGCCCAAGTAACGAAGGGAAGAGAAGTTGGGCAGGAAGGGGCGACGAGGCGATGCCGGGCGACGCGAGACGAAGTTCCAGCGCTGGAATTGTGGAAACGTGTCTGACTATGACGGTGGGCAGATAGACACAGCACAGACACACAGATAGACACAGACATAGACACAGATAGACACACAGATAGACACAGCACAGACATACACACAGACAGATAGACACACACATAGACACACACATAGACACAGATAGACACAGCACTGATAGACACAGCACAGACACATACACACAGATAGACACACAGATAGACACACACACAGATAGACACACAGATAGACACAGCACAGACACACAGATAGACACACAGATAGACACAAACAGATAGACACACAGATAGACGCACACAGATAGACACACAGATAGCCACACACAGATAGACACACACACACAGATAGACAGCACAGACACAGATAGATACACACAGATAGACACAGATAGACACATACACACAGATAGACACAGCACAGATAGACACAGCACAGACACACAGATAGACACATACACACAGATAGACACAGCACAGATAGACACAGCACAGCCACACAGATACACACACACATAGACACACAGATAGACACAGACACAGATAGAGACACAGATAGACACATAAAGATAGACACACACAGATAGACACAGACACACAGATAGACACACAGATAGACACACAGAGATAGACACAGATAGACACACACAGATAGACACACACACCACAGATAGACACACACAGCACAGATAGACACACAGATAGACACAGACACAGCACAGATAGACACAAACACACAGATAGACACACACACCACAGATAGACACACACACAGCACAGATAGACACACAGATAGACACAGCACAGATAGACACAAACACAGATAGACACACACACACACCACAGATAGACACACACAGCACAGATAGACACACAGATAGACACAGCACAGATAGACACAGCACAGATAGACACAAACACACAGATAGACACACACACCACAGATAGACACACACAGCACAGATAGACACACAGATAGACACAGACACAGCACAGATAGACAAAACACACAGATAGACACACACACCACAGATAGACACACACACAGCACAGACACAAAGATAGACACAGACACACCACAGACACAGACACACAGATAGACACACACAGTACAGAGAGACACACAGATAGACACAGACACACAGATAGTCACATACACACAGACACACACAGAGATAGACACAGACACAGATAGACACACACACAGATAGACACACAGAGATAGACACAGACACAGATAGACACAGAGATAGACACATACACACAGATAGACACACAGACACATACACACAGATAGACACACAGAGATAGACACAGACACAGAGATAGACACAGATAGACACAGACACAGCACAGACACACAGATAGACACAAACAGTACAGATAGACACACACAGATAGACACAGACACACAGTCACACCACAGATATACAGAGATAGACACAGACACAGTCACACCACACATATACAGACAGACAAGACAGTACAGTCATCAAGACAGTCACACAGACATATAGACAGTCAGACAGGCAGTCAGACAACCAGTCAGCCACACTTAGACACTCAGTCACACGCACTTAGACACACTCACCCACACTGAGACACACTCACCCACACACTTAGACACTCAGTCACACGCACTTAGACACACTCACCCACACTTAGACACTCACCCACACACTTAGACACTCACCCACACACTTAGACACACTCACCCACACACTTAGACACACTCACCCACACACTTAGACACACACACACACTGAGACACACTCACCCACACACTTAGACACTCACCCACACACTGAGACACACACACACACTTAGACACACTCACCCACACACTTAGACACTCACCCACACACTTAGACACTCACCCACACACTTAGACACATTTACCCACACACTTAGACACACTCACCCACACACATAGACACACTCACCCACACACTTAAACACACCCACACACTTAGACACACTCACCCACACTTAGACACTCACCCACACACTTAGACACTCACCCACACACTTAGACACACTCACCCACACACTTAGACACACTTACCCACACACTTAGACACACTCACCCACACACTGAGACACACTCCCTCACACACTTAGACACTCAGTCACACTTAGACACACTCACCCACACACTTAGACACACTCACCCACACACTTAGACACACTCACCCACACACTTGGACACACTCACCCACACACTTAGACACTCACCCACACACTTTGACACTCACCCACACACTTAGACACACTCACCCACACACTGAGACACACTCACCCACACACTTAGACACACTCACCCACACACTTAGAGACTCAGTCAGATACTTAGACACTCAGTCACACACTTAGACACTCCCCACACACTTAGACACTCAGTCACACACACACTTAGACACTCACCCACACTTAGACACTCAGTCACACACTTAGACACTCACACACACACTGAGACACTCACCCACACACTTAGACACTCAGTCACCCACACACTGAGACAGACTCAACCACACACTTAGACACACACTTATACACTCAGTCACACTTAGACACTCACACACACACTTAGACACTCAGTCACACTTAGATACTCACCCACACACTTAGACACTCAGTCACACTGAGACACACTCACCCACACACTTAGACACACTCAGTCACACTTAGACACTCACACACACACTTAGACACACTCACCCACACACTCGGACACACTCACCCACACACTTAGACACTCACACACACACTCGGACACGGGGCACCCTAAGGAAGGGACACTGAGCAGGAGCAGGAGCAGATAGACGAGGTAGACGACGAGGGGGAGGAGGAGGAGCAGGAGGAGGAGATAGACGAGATAGACGAGGTAGACGACGAGGAGGAGGTAGACGAGGTAGACGACGAGGAGGAGGAGGAGTCGCCATGACGACGAGCGCGTGGTGCTGCAGCGGCTCCCCGTGGTACCACCGCGACCTGAGCCGCGTGCGCGCCGAGGAGCTGCTGGGTCGAGCGGCCCGGGACGGCTCCTTCCTGCTGCGGGACAGCGAGTCGGTGCCGGGGGCCTTCGCGCTGTGCCTGCTGTGAGTGGGGGGGGGCACGGGGGGCACGGGGGGGCACGGGGGGCACGGGGGGGGCACGGGGGGGGAGAGGGGGGGCACGGGGGGGGACGGGGGGGGGCCTTCATCCACTAACCCCCACCATGGGGGTCTTCACCCACCAAGGGGGTCTTCACTCACCCACCAAGGGGGTCTTCACTCACTCACCATGGGGGTCTTCACTCACTCACCAAGGGGGTCTCCACTCACCATGGGGGTCTTCACCCACCAAGGGGGTCTTCACTCACCAAGGGGGTCTTCACTCACTCACCAAGGGGGTCTTCACTCACCCACCAAGTGGGTCTTCACTCACTCACCAAGGGGGTCTTCACTCACTCACCAAGGGGGTCTTCACTCACCCACCATGGGGGTCTTCACCCACCCACCATGGGGGTCTTCACTCACCCACCAAGGGGGTCTTCACCCACCCACCGTGGGGGTCTTCACTCACTCACCAAGGGGGTCTTCACCCACCCACCAAGGGGGTCTTCACTCACCCACCAAGGGGGTCTTCACTCACCCACCAAGGGGGTCTTCAACCACCCACCGTGGGGGTCTTCACTCACACACCAAGGGGGTCTTCACTCACCCACCAAGGGGGTCTTCACTCACTCACCAAGGGGGTCTTCACTCACCCACCAAAGGGGTCTTCACTCACCCACCGTGGGGGTCTTCACTCACCCACCAAGGGGGTCTTCACTCACCCACCAAGGGGGTCTTCACCCACCCACCAAGGGGGTCTTCACTCACCCACCAAGGGGGTCTTCACTCACCCACCAAGGGGGTCTTCATCCACCCACCGTGGGGGTCTTCACTCACTCACCAAGGGGGTCTTCACTCACCCACCAAGGGGGTCTTCACTCACTCACCAAGGGGGTCTTCACTCACCCACCAAAGGGGTCTTCACTCACCCACCGTGGGGGTCTTCACTCACCCACCAAGGGGGTCTTCACTCACCCACCGTGGGGGTCTTCACTCTCCCCACAGAGGGACCCCAAGGGACCTTCACTTACCACCAAAGCCACGCAACTCCCCACGGGACCCCCACGGGACCCCCACGGGACCCCCAGGGGACCCCCACGGGACCCCCAGGGGACCCCCACGGGACCCCCACGGGACCCCCACGGGACCCCCAGGGGACCCCCACGGGAGTGTAAACGTGTGTGTGTGTGGGGCCTGTGGGGCCTGTTGGTCCAGCCCTAGGGGCTCGTCTGGGCTCCCAGCAGGGTCAGGGTGGAGGGGACCCCTGGGAGGGGTGAGGACCAGGTGGACGGGACGGGGTCACCTTTGTGATGATGAAATTCCTCAGGGGATCATCCGAGTCCCTCTGGGAGCTCGTGGGGTCTCGCGGGGATTCCTTTTGGGTCTCTCTGGGATTACTTTCGGGGTTTGTTTGGGATTACTTTTGGGTTTGTCTGGGATTACTTTGGGGTTTGTCTGGGATCACTTTAGGGTTTCTCTGGGATTACTTTGGGGTTTTTGTCTAGGATTGCTTTGGGGTTTGTCTGGGATTACTTTGGGGTTTGTCTGGGATTACTTTGGGGTTTGTCTGGGATCACTTTTAGGGTTTGTCTGGGATTACTTTGGGGTTTTTGTCTAGGATTGCTTTGGGGTTTGTCTGGTATTACTTTGGGGTTTGTCTGGGATTACTTTGGGGTTTGTCTGGGATCACTTTTAGGGTTTGTCTGGGATTACTTTGGGGTTTTTGTCTAGGATTGCTTTGGGGTTTGTCTGGTATTACTTTGGGGTTTGTCTGGGATTACTTTGGGGTTTGTCTGGGATTACTTTGGGGTTTGCCTGGGATTACTTTTGGGGTTTGTCTGTAATTGCTTTGGGGTTTGTCTGGGATTACTTTTGGGGTTTGTCTGGGATCACTTTTAGGGTTTCTCTGGGATCACTTTTGTGGTTTCTTTGAAATTACTTTTGTGGTTTCCTTGGGATTACTTTGGGGTTTCTCTGGGATTACTTTTATGTCTTTTCTTGAATTACTTTCGGGGGTTCTCTGGGATTACTGTTGGAGTCTCTCTGGCATTACTTTTGAGGTCTTTATGGGATTACCTTTGGGGGTTCTATGGAGTTCATATCCCGACCCTGATGATGCCTGCTGTTTATTTGGAGTCTGCGTCTCTCTCCTCTCTCAACTCTCCTCCGGTTTTTCCCCTCCACCTTTAGGAATCAGCGTCACCACGCGTTTATAGAGAACACCGCCGCCTAGTAAGGTTTGTTCACGTAAGCGAAACGTGCCAATCTGCTGCTGGTTCGGCACGCTGGCAAATGCTGTGGGCTTAATCTCCAGCACACCGGCGCGTTCTGTTTACGTGACGAACCCGGCTAATCAGGCTCTGCCGGGTGTTGTGGCGGGTTTTACGACGCACCATTTGGATTCGCTCCGTCTAGCACCAAACCCCGCTGTAGCGGACGAGAGCCACTTCGTTGTGCAACAGCCAGGGTGGCCTTGCCTGGCGAGGTCAAGAAATGATTGCCTCCTGGGTGCCCCGCGGGAGGCAAGCTCCTTGGTCCACTGGTTAACGGGAGCCCCTGTGCGGTTCGTGAGCGCTGAGCGTGAGACCCACCGTGTGCCCGTGCACCATCCCTGGCGGGTCGTCCGTCCGCCTGCTCGCCCGCCGACTACAAATACTACCCAGCTGCTTCCGCTCAAGCCAGCTGACCTCGCGCCGGTTTAGAATCCTGGGGTCTCATCAGCAGGGTCGGGCTTGTTGACGTATCGCCGCGGTGGCTGGGACATGTTGACTACCTCGCCTGGTGTACAGGAGGTCGTGGGTTCGATCCCGGCCCTGATGCCTGCTGCTGTATATTTGGAGTCTGCGTCTCTCTCTCTCGTCATCATCACGGTGGCTATGAGATGTTAACTACCTCGCCTGGTGTACAGGAGGTCGTGGGTTCGATCCCAATCCCTGCTGTATTTTTGGAGTCTGCGGTGTCTCTCTCGCCGTATTCGCGTGGATTTTTCTCCAGCCCCCCCCTCCGGTTTTCCCCTCCATCCGCATTTTGAGTCAACGTCACCCCACGCGTTTGTCGAGAGTCTGGCTCCTGCTCAACATTTCCACGCGGTGGTGGTGATGACAAGCCGCCATTCCGTCGGTCCCATCGCCCGTGATGGAAAAGAGCTCCACATCAGCTCAGTCGGGCCTCACCTGGTCAGGTCAAACAATCGTTTAGCGCGTAAAGCTTTCGAAGTCTAGCCTGGTGCGTGCACCACGATTGAGGCCATTCAAACCCACGCGCTGCCACTAATTGGGGCCTTAACGACGAGCAAACGACTCTGGGGCGTTGTGAATTACAAATAAAAATTGGCCACCTCAAATCCATTGCCGGATGAAGGACTCCCCAAGCCGTTGCCGGCTGTGAGAGCCGTTTGACCATACTTCACCACGCACGCCGTAGTACGGGAGTCGAACTCAGACCGCCGGCGTTCAAAGCGCTGCGTGACACAACCCAGCTGCACCATGCGTGCTCGGTGTGTTGAACTTCTTTCACACCGTACGTAACCATGCGTGCTGTGTATGAACGTTGAACTTCTTTCACACCGTACGTAGCCAACCGTGCAGTCTATGAACGTTGAACTTCTGCTACTACCACCGCATTACAGGAGAACAGCCTGTACAAAGACAAAGACTGTTGGGGCAAGTTCTGTTAGTGAGTAGCAGGTCGGCACGGCACACGAGGTGGTCAGTGCCACGCCCGGCCGCCTTTGTCTCCCCAGTGGCGATGTTCGCACAACCGTAGCAGCTTCTCATTTGAGGCTGAGTCGACCAAAGGGATGCCCAGGACCGGTTCAGATGATCGTCACCGGTGTTTGTGGCCGTGAGCGGGAATCGAACTCGGGTCGCCGGGTTCGTAGCGCATCGCAGTAACCACTACACTACCGCTCCCTACACACAGCTGTAGCTACACACACAGCTGTAGCTACACATAGCTGTAGCTACACACACAGCTGTAGCTATACACACACACCACACACACAGCTGTAGCTACACACACACAGCTGTAGCTACACATAGCTGTAGCTGCACACAGCTGTAGCTATACACACACACACCACACACACAGCTGTAGCTACACACAGCTGTAGCTACACACACACACAGCTGTAGCTACACACACACAGCTGTAGCTACACATAGCTGTAGCTACACACACAGCTGTAGCTATACACACACACCACACACACAGCTGTAGCTACACACACAGCTGTAGCTACACATAGCTGTAGCTGCACACAGCTGTAGCTATACACACACACCACACACACAGCTGTAGCTACACACAGCTGTAGCTACACACACACAGCTGTAGCTACACACAGCTGTAGCTACACACACACCACACACACAGCTGTAGCTACACACAGCTGTAGCTACACACACAGCTGTAGCTACACACACACACATAGCTGTAGCTACACACAGCTGTAGCTACACACAGCTGTAGCTACACACACACACAGCTGTAGCTACACACACACAGCTGTAGCTACACACATAGCTGTAGCTACACACACAGCTGTAGCTACACACAGCTGTAGCTACACACAGCTGTAGCTACACACAGCTGTAGCTACACACACACAGCTGTAGCTACACACACACAGCTGTAGCTACACACACACACAGCTGTGCTACACACACACAGCTGTAGCTACACACACAGCTGTAGCTACACACACAGCTGTAGCTACACACACACAGCTGTAGCTACACACACACACAGCTGTAGCTACACACACAGCTGTAGCTACACACAGCTGTAGCTACACACACACACACAGCTGTAGCTACACACACACAGCTGTAGCTACACACACACAGCTGTAGGTACACACACAGCTGTAGCTACACACAGCTGTAGCTAGCTGTAGCTACACACAGCTGTAGCTACACACACAGCTGTAGCTACACACACACAGCTGTAGCTACACACACAGCTGTAACTACACACAGCTGTAGCTAGCTGTAGCTACACAC